TCTATCTATCTATCTATCTATCTATCTATCTATCTATCTATCTATCTATCTATCTATCTATCTATCTATCTATCTATCTATCTATCTATCTATCTATCTATCTATCTATCTATCTATCTATCTATCTATCTATCTATCTATCTATCTATCTATCTATCTATCTATCTATCTATCTATCTTAGAGACTGTAGAGACTGTTCATTTACATCTCCAGAACAAGCAAACAAGTCAAACACTAGCTAATAATACCCAACAAAAACAATTCCTTACCATTGTAAGAGTGAAGGGATGGCTTTCAAGAGAGGACACACTTGGGCAGTGCAGAATGACATACTGAAATATATCAGACAAAGAAAATGAAGGGAAAAAAAAGATAAAGAACAGGATAACAAACATCATATGGGGTCGTTACTCCTAATGTTGGGCTGCTCATTCCACTGGGAAGTTCTTGCATATGATATTACTATACTACCATCTCTGTGGAAGTTATATTTGTGCTAGGACTGGAAACTCCAGCTGGTGCAGAAGGCAAGCATAGCCAGGTTGCTGAGAGGAGCACCAGCTGGCTGCACATTACACCTTGGTTGAAACAAATGCAATGACTTCCAATAATCCAGCCAGCCAAGTTCAAGTTTTTGTTTATAATATACAAGGTTCTAAACAGCTTGACACAGTGGTTAGACACAGTGGTTAGAATGCAGTATTGCAGGCAAACTCTGCCCACAGCCTGCAGTTCAATCTTCATGCGGCTCCAGGTTGCTCAGGCTCCCATCCTTCCAAAATCAGTAAAATGAGGACCCAGATTGTTGGGGGCAATATGCTAACCTTGTAAACCACCTAGAGCAGCGGTTCTCAACCTGTGGGTCGCGACTCCTTTGGGTCTGCCGGCGCTGTCGCCCTCTTGGCTCTCTCTCTCTCTCCCTCTCCCCACCTGGGCGCTTCTCCAACCAGGCTGGGCGGAGTCGGCGGAGCGGCCTTCCTGTCCCCCCTCCCCGGCCAGCTGGAGCCGGGCAGGCCGGCGACCTTTGGAAGTAAGGCAAGGACAGGCGAGGTGCGCTGAGCCCCAGGCGCGGTGGGTGAGTGGGCGGCATCGGTGCACGCTTGGAGAGCCCTTCGGGTTGGGGGTCACCACAACATGAGGAACTGTATTCAAGGGTTGCGGCATTAGGAAGGTTGAGAACCACTGACCTAGAGTGCTATAAAACACTATGTAAACTGATTTGCTATTATAGATCTGGTCAGTTCTGCTGTATGTTCTACAACACTAGAAGACTCTCTACTGAGATTCATGAAGGCACTTAGGAACTGTGTATTTCCTAAAATGACATACCTTAACTCAGTTACCTACAATAGTAAGGAGTTATTACTGGTATTACTACCTGACTGGTTTAAATTGATTGTGGTATTTTTATTCCCAGCCCTGACTAGGGACATAAGGATTTCCGCTAGGGATCTGGTTGGAGAAGACTTTAGTTTTCTCACTGTGAGCAAAATCATAGTTAGGATAAATGCTTGCAAGAACAAAGTCCAACTTTGTCTTTCTCTTCAAAAATCCAACTCACATTTTAAAACCTGAAACCAACAACACCATCTCTTTTCACAGAAAAAAAATAACATATTACACATTCTCCATAACATGGAGCTCACCTGTACCACTTCTTGAACTGGTCATGCATCTACATAATACTACTAGGGCTCCTGGTCAATCCAAGAAGTGTTGCAAAGCACAAAACATCCTGCCCAAGCCGCTTATTTAGTACAAGCATGTAGGACCAGATCCTGGCTACCTCATCCTTTTTCAGAAAGATGTACAACATCCAACTCTCTCTAATTTTATCCCAAAATGTTTTTATCATTGATGCAAATCTAAAACTATCCCTGTAAAGCAGGCATGTCAAACTGCTGGCCCGCGGGCCGGATGCATCACGCCAAAACCGCGCCCACCCCATTGCCGGCAATGGGGAAAAAGTCACGATACATTGCATGACGTCACATGACGTCGCGGGTTTGACACGCCTGCTGTAAAGAAAGCAGATGAATATAAGTTGCAAGTCCTGAATTGAGGAAGATTTGGAATATTAACTGATTATTAGCTTACCTGTCCAGGTCTTGCTTTAAAGTCTTCCTTCACCATCTGTATTTCAAGGACATCACACGGATGGTGGATCACCGCAGTGAGTGTGACAGGTTTATAACTGCTATAGATATAACGATACAGTCTTTCCACACAATATAAGCATAATGGTCCGGAGATCCAGAGCCAAGTCTGAAGATCAGAAATAAAAGCAATATTCTTGTCTGGGAAATGTCTGCCAGCAAGTATTAGTTGGCGATTTTAACTCAGTATGTGCAACCCAAACCAGTATGAGAAGGGATGAATGAGTTGGATTAACTCTACCTATTTCTTTGTCTACTTTGGGGGATAGACTTTCAAGCCAGCAAGTTGTCATATTGATTTTTTTTTTCATTTAAAAATACTACAGAAAAACTCAACAAACTGATCCTACGAATGGTTGAAACATAGATTATTTCTGTGGAGTCCTTGGTGCTCTCTGAGCTTGATGGTTTCCTTGCAGATGCTTCATTACCAAACGAGGTAAAATCGTCCATGTTAGCAGCAAGCTCAGAGATCTCCAGGGACCTCACCGTTCAATTACGAGCTACAAATATTTTCTTCTATGGATAGATTATTTCTTAAAGTGTATTAAGCAACTGTGTTTCTCTACCTTTTTCATTTAAGAAAAACTTGTATTTATACCAGCACCAAATTCTTTGAACGGAGAAGTTTACAGGTAGTCCTCGACTTATGACCGCAGTTGAGCCCAAAATTTGGCTAAGCGAAAGTCATTGGTTAAGTGAGTTTGCCCCATTTTACAACCTTTCTTGCCACAGCTGTTAAGTGAATCACTGCAGTTGTTAAGTTAGTAACACGGTTGTAAAGTGAAGCTGGCTTTCCCAATGACTTTGCTTGTCAGAATGCGATCAACTTATGACCACAATTGAGTCCAAAGTTTCTGTTGTTACGGGAGACATTTCTGAAGTGAGTTTTGCCCCGTCGTCCAACATTTCTTGCCCAAGTTGTTAAGTGAATCACTGCAGTTGATAAGTTAATAACCTGATTGTTAAATGAATCTACCTTCCCCATTGACTTTGCTTCTCAAAAGGTCGCAAAAGGTGATCACATGAGCCTGGGACACATAAACATGAGTCAGTTGCCAAGCATCTGAATTTTGATCCCATGACCATGGGGATGCTGCAACAGTCATAAATATGAAAAACAGTCATAAGTCACTTTTTTCAGTGCCATTGTAACTTCATGCGGTCAGTAAACAAACTGTTGTGTCAACGCTGCTAACATTGGATGTTCTTGCTTTGACAACATATGGAGATGCAGCCTTTTTCTTTCCTATACGTTACTCTTAGAATTAGATGATACTGGGGGAGGGGGAGGAATGTGATGGGAGTTAGTTAGACATACAAAATTGTAACAAGAGCTGATAAGGCATGGAGGAGGGGAAACTGGGCGGAAAGCCAGCATTTCAAACTAATTGGAGAATGTGATTTATGACTGTTAGTTGTAGGAGGGAATTGTGCTTTGATCTATGTGCTGAAGGGAGGGGAAGTCAGATTTTGGCTTCAACTATTTACATGCGGAAGCTATGCTGCTCTATTAAAGATTCTTTAAGGTAAACAATGCCTCAAAGTTCTTTGAAGAGTTTTATCTTTCGGAACAGTGACAGTAAGTTAAGAATTACTTCTATTTCCCAAGCAATTTATGGAATGCCCAGGTGTCTATGCAATTATCATCCTTCCAAGAAGCATCAGAGAAGAAACACTATTTTTCAAGAGCTCTGTGCTAATGCGAGTATAATATTTTTTTAAAAAAAGTTATAGGTAAATACAACTTCGCCCACTTTACACATTTTAGAAAGTAAATAAAATCCTATTGCTTAGATCAGAGTTGCTGGCTGGGGAATTTGGGCAGTTGAAGTCCAGACATCTTAAAGTTGCCAAAATTGAGAAATATTAACTGAGGGAATAACTCATGCCCATTAAGCTCAGATTTAAGTTTTATTTATTCAATTTCTGTAGTTGCCCATCTCAACCCAATTGACTCTTGGATTGTGCTAACAACCTCTTAAGGTTACGGCGAGATTCAAAAGAGAAGCCAGCTGAATTGTTTTTAAGTGCACACCTAAAAACACAATCAATTTATGTGACAAATCGGAAACAGCTTTATTAGTTAATGCTGAATATTCAGCAGAGAGGGTCGCCTTGTCAAATGTATGCTTCATTGCAAACCTGGATTTGCAGTTTTCAGTACATTATACATGAGCAGCTCATGGCCTCCACTGGCTACTCCATGCTAAGACTGTCAGACAAGTGCAACAATCGTTGTTTAGTCATGGTTTATTTCTTTTATGTTGTTCATACATCCTGAGTGTGGACACTTGACGAATATGTAATGCGTATTTTAGTTTTAGGCTTGTGTCTGGATTGCCTTCCTATCTCTTACCAGATCTCTTCAACACCACAAATTACACCTGACTAAATTTGGAACTCAGCCTACATGACAACTGTCTCTTCCCTCCCAGACGTTTAGCTGCAAACATTTTAATAGCTTGTTCCCTGTCAACTTGGAATATTTATGAAACGTTTGGAGCTTTTCACACCACCAGGGCCAACTGGTAGCAGAAGCATTATTGCCAGCAGCACAATACAGCACAGATGTTCACACAAACCTCAGGGAAACAGGCTTGGAATTTGGGCTCTTCTGCACAAGCAACGTTGCTTTTCAGAAGTGGCTGCAGTTCCATCAACGGTCCTGGGAAACGCTCTACGGCACTTCCTGTGAGAGACGATTTGAAGCCACTTTCAAATGGAATGTCCTTTTCGGCGGTCCCATTGGGATCGAAACACCCAGGGGGGTGCTCTTTTAGGTTAGTTTGGTATTTCAGAACTCCTCTGCAGAAATAAGAAAAAAGAAAAAAGAAAGAAAGTAAGGCAAATCTGGTCACCGCGGCAAAAAAACAGATGTTGAGAACCTAGAAGGTGCACAGAGAAGAGCAACAAAATTGATTAAAAGTCTGGAGGCTAAATCATATAATGAACAGTTGAAGGAACTAGGTATGTCTAGCTCAGGGTTAGACAACCTCGGCTCTTTTATGACTTGTGGACTTCAACTCCCAGAATTCCTGAGCCAGCCATGCTGAGGGGAAAGGGAGAGGTTTCCAAGCTGAGCCATGCTGGCTCAGGAATTCTGGGAGTTGAAGTCCACGAGTCATAAAAGAGCCAAGGTTGCCTACCCCTGACCATGGGGAAGGTTGCAACGGTCGTAAGTGTGAAAAATGGCCATAATTCCCTTTTTTCAGTGCCATTGTTAACGGTCACTAAATGAAGTGATTGTTGTAGGTCGAGGACTACCTGTAATAAAAGCCTTTTGGAATTAAATGGCAATTCAAAGCAGAAACATCTTTAATTCATTCTCATATTGGGGTGTTCTTCCAGAGATGTGACGCACTGTAGGGTCATCATAAACACAAAACGCAACCAGAAAATAGCTGTGATCGAATGTTGTTAAATGAATATTTGTAATGATTTTCCTCCCCACCCAGGCGCTCATCTACACAATTTAAATCTAATTACATTCAGGAGTTAAGTTCTGAGGTTTGCTAAGAGTCCTCCTCACAAATGCAGATGCAGATAATGATATTTTTTTCTGAATTCCCCTCAGCAAAATCTAAACAACACAACCACATATGTTTTTGCTTCCATAATGATTTCTATGGGACTCCATTTTGAAAAATTATTCTCGCTCGCTGAGGAAAAAATAAAAACCAAAGACAGGATGAGGGAAGTAAATTCATTTTCTCATCCTGTTACTTTGATCCTAAAGCTTGATTGATATCCCCTGACTGGGCAACTTGCAGACTGTTAACAAAAAAAACCCTAAAACCGAATGAAAGCAAACAAATGCAGAGGTGAAATTAACAATCTTGTTTCTCTTTCTTTCTAATTGCACTGAGTGCTGTGCTTGTTTTTAATTATCTTTATTTACAACAGTCCCCTCTTACAAAACCATAGCCCTCGCTTTAACCATGCAGAACCTCCTCCTATTAAAAAAAACAAACAAACAGTATATAATATAGGCGGCAAATACACGACATTTTATTCATTTTTACGGTGACAGGAGACCTGGTAATTTCCACATGGAATGCTGTGCTTTAAAAAAAAGAAAAGAAAAATAAGAATAAGGGGGAAAAAATAAGCAAAAACACTGTACTTCACTGAAACAAAAGGGGCAAATTCCGTTTTTTTGCAGCAATAATAATATTTCTAGGAACCATGCTGTTCTGCTAGCTTTGGAGATATGTTTTTATTAAAAGAAAGGAACCCACGCTTTAACATTGCAATCTGAAATCAGAAAGGAGAGGGAAGTGCAAAAAAAAAAGCTGGTTTTGCCCCAAGGTACGGTACATACGAATAGTTTAAAAATGAGGGAGAGGCTGAGCGAGGTATAAAACTCTCTCCATATTTTGCCTTTTCTCCCCCCTCCAGAAGTCCTTCAGCTAACAAACCTACAGTGCAGAGCCCCCAAAGCATTGCTGCAGGAACATTACATCGGCCATTAAATCTTATCCTCCTCCGTTAAAGGGGGTGGAAATCATTGCCGCAGTGAGTATCACTAAAGAGAATTTGCCTGCTTCTGCGTTAACTCCTTGCAGCCAGCAAAATAAATCCCTTCACTTTTTCAAAAAAAAAAAACAACCAAAAGAAAACAAAGAAAACCCATTCTCTTCAGCCAACATTGTGCCAATGTTTTGCTTTCTTTGTTTTTAAGAGGTAGAATACAAAATATAGAATATCAACAGTTGGAGGAGACCTTGAAGGTCTTCTAGTCCAAACCCCTACTCAAATAGGAGATTCTATACCAGGGGTCCCCAACCCCTGATCTGTGGCCCGGTACTGGTCCATGGCTCTGTTGGAAACCGAGCCGTGCAAGCAATAGGCGAGAACGGGAAGCTTCATTTGTGCATGCACAGAACTAGGTTGCGTGCACAAAATCATCTCACCACCACCACCAAGGGCTCCGCCGTGGCCTCTGCCGCCAGTCCATGGAGCCAGAAAGATTGGGGACCTCTGCTTTATACCATTCTGGATAAATGGCTGTCCAGTCTCTTAAAAAATTTCAGTGATGGCGCAACCACAACTTCTGGAGACAAGCTGTCCCATTGATTAATTATTCTCACTGTCAGGAAATTTCTCCTTAGTTCTAGGTTGCTTCTCTCCTTGATTTGTTTCCATCTATTGCTTCTTGTCCTGCCTCCAAGTGTTTTGGAAAATAAGTTGATACCCTCTTTGTGTCAGCCCCTTAGATATTGGAACACTGCTATTATGCCACGGTTTTCCCAGTTGCAATGTATGGCTGTGAAAGTTGGACCATAAGAAAGGCTGAGCGCCAAAGAATTGAGGCCTTTGAACTATGCTGCTGGAGAAGACTCCTGCAAGTCCCCTGGACTGCAAGGCGTTCAAACCGGTCAGTCCTAGAGGAGATCAACCCCGACTGCTCTTTAGAAGGCCAGATCCTGAAGTTGAAACTCAAGTACTTTGGCCACCTAATGAGAAGGAAGGACTCACTGGAGAAGAGCCTAATGCTGGGAAAGATTGAGGGCAAGAGAAGAAGGGGACAACAGAGAATGAGGTGGCTGATGGAGTCACTGAAGCAGTAGGTGTGAACTTAAATGGACTCCAGAAGATGGTAGAGGACAGGAAGACCTGGAGGAACATTGTCCATGGGGTCGCGATGGGTCGGACACGACTTCGCAATTAACAACAATTCCTTCTCTTCTTTAGAAGAGACATACCCAGTTCCTGGATTGTATGTTTTAGCCTCCAGTCCCCTAATCATCTTTGTTGCTTTGCAACAAAGTTTGTTCTCACCACCATATTCCCATATCTTTTTGTCCCCAGGTTCCTTGAACACACATACTTATGAGAGCTCCCTATAGGATTCTGTTCAGAGGCATCTAGGATGCCCCTGTGTTTGTAGCGTCCCAGCAAATCAACTCAATGATCCAAATTAACAACGAGCAGAGAAGGCAAATGAGGGCAGGGCCACTGAGGGTAAAGAGAGCAGAACAAAAGCAATTGTACCAAAGCAATTTCGGATGTGGATAAAGATCAAGAGCGAACTAAGTTTATGTGTCCCCTTCATAAAACCCACGTTGCTACATTCCAGTCTTCTATGTTCAAATTGTTTTCAAACAATAAGCACCAAAGAAGTCAGGAGGGTAATAAACAGAATGCAATGAAGCTGAAAGGAGAAATTTCCTACTAGTGAGAACAATTAACCAGTGGAACAGCTTGCCTTAAGAAGTTGTGGGTGCTTTTAAGAAGAGCCGCTTGTCTGAAATGGTTTGGGCAGTGGTTCTCAACCTTTTTAATGCCATGACCCCTAACCGGTCGTAAGTCGAGGACTAAACCGGTCGTAAGTCAAGGACTACCCAACCGGTCGTAAGTCGAGGACTTTCCCTGCCCGGGAGCGCCGTGCATGCGTGGTTCCGCCCCCTGCGCCGGCCGAGGCATAGCTGGCAAGCGGCAGAGATGGAGCAGGCCGACCACCAGCTGACCCAGCCCAAGGGAGGTAAGGCACCCGCCGGAAAAGGGGGAAAAAATGGCAGACAAAAAAAATGGCGGACAGCCTTGCTTGGCGACCCCCATGAAATGGTCGATCGACCCCAAATGGGGTCCCGACCCACAGGTTGAGAACCACTGGTTTAGGGTCTTCTGCTTGAGCAGGGGGTTGAACTAGAAGGCCTCCAAGGCCCCTTCCAACTTTATTATTCTGTATTCTGTACCTGTATAAATAGGGGTTCTGGAATTCCTGAGCTGAGCTTAGGAGACACCTTTGCATGCACAACTCTCTGTCTCTTCCACAGTCTTGACAAACATTGCCACACCTCAAAGTATAAATATATATTATAAATGGAGCCTCCTCATTACCGGTAGTCCTTGACTTGTGACCACAACTGAACCCAAATTTTTTGTTGCTAAGCAAGACTGTTGTTAAGTGAGCTTTATCTCATTTTACGTTTTTGCCAGAGTTGTTAAGTGAATTACTGCAATTGTTATGTGAATTGTTAAGTGAATCTGGCTTCCCCATTGACTTTGCTTGTCAGAAGGGTGCAAAAGGGGATCACGTGACTCTGGGACACTGCAACCGTCATAAACATGAGTCAGTTGCCAAGCAGCCGAATTTTGATCACGTGACCCCAGGGATGCCGCAAAGACCGTAAGTATAAAAAAATGGTCCTTAGTCACTTTTTCTAGTGCCACTGTAACTCTGAATGGTCATATGAGCCAGCAGTGTGCTGCAGCTGCCAACACAGTGCTAGGCTGCATTAACAGAGGGATAGAATCAAGATCCCGTGAAGTGTTAATACCACTTTACAATGCCTTGGTAAGGTCACACTTTGAATACTGCATCCAGTTTTGGTCACCACGATGTAAAAAAGATGTTGAGATTTTAGAAAGAGTACAGAGAAGAGCAACAAAGATGATTAGGGGATTGGAGGCTAAAGCATATAAGGAAAGGCTGCTGGAATTGGGTATGTCTAGTTTAATGAAGAGAAGGACGAGGGAGGACATGATAGCAGTGTTCCATTATCTCAAGGGCTGCCACAAAGAAGAGGGAGTCAAGCTATTCTCCAAAGCGCCTGAAGGCAGGACAAGAAGCAACGGATGGAAACTAACCAAGGAGAGAAGCAACCTAGATCTAAGGAGAAACTTCCTGACAGTTAGAACAATTAACCAGTGGAACAACCTGCCTCCAGAAGCTGTGAATGCTCCAACACTGGAAGTTTTTAAGAAGAGACTGGATAGCCATTTGTCTGAAATGGTATAGGGTTTCCTTCCTGAGCAGGGGGTTGGACTAGATGACCTCCAAGGTCCCTTCCAACTTTATT